CCTCAGCGGGGGGTCGCTTGGTGCCGGCTTGTGCGCTGGATAACTGCGGGCCGTCATCCGCCAGTAACCCCCATGTGCTTTCTCCTCTTTCTGTTTTTCAGCGTTGGGCAAGTTGTCAACATCAAAGCCAAAGTGAACCGAGCCTTTAACTCCAGCATGGAGGTTGGTGTGCCACCCCTCGCCTTCACCCCCTGCCCACCCCGTCCCCGCCAGCCGTGCACACCTGTTCACTGCCGCCAAATGCGAAATATCCAAATCCTCCCACGGTTTCCAGCTTTGATCCCATGTGTCAGTCCCCTCCTTCTGTGCTTGGTGGGATGTGGGTCCCCAGGGAGCAGAGCTGGCTCTCAGGGTTGCTGTGCCCTCTCCCAGGTGGGCATCCAGGTGAGCTACGAGGACCTGTGCAGCGGGAAGCACTGCAGCATCTGCAAGGCGTACGCCACCTTCGTGGCACAGGGTCCCACCGGCAGCAAGGTGAGCAGTGGCCAGCGGCTGTGGGGGCTCGGTTGGTTCCTGTGCAGAGGTGGCAAGGAAATGGCCTCTCTAGGGAGAGATGAGCTGGGCCCGGCTTTCCATCACAGCATGTGCCAATGCTTTGTGGCTGTCTGCACACGATCGGGTTGGTGATCCCTTATCGCGTGTGTGGGGTGCACGGTGGGGTGCTGAGGCTCTCAGCCCCACTCTAAGCATGGAGGGCACCTGCCCACTGCTGCTGTCCCCTCCTCTGTGCCCAGGGAGGGCAGGGACATACCTCCCCGCCAGCACTGTGGGACAGCTCCTCAGCATCAGTGCCCATCCCTGCTGCATGACACCTCCCCAGGGATCCCTATCCAGTTATAGGAGCCATTTGCCCTCTGGCCCCTCTGTGAGCAGCTATAATATAACCCAGGAGGAGCGTGGCTGGCTCCAACACACATGGTGGGATATACAGTGCTATAGGAGCGTGTGCCGATGCCCGAAGCAGCCCTGCCTTCTCCTGCAGCAGGAGTGCACCCTGTCCGTGTCCCCTTTGCAGGTGAAGCTGAAGGCACTGACCCCGCAGACGGAGGAGGAGAAGATAGAGCACAGCATTGCTGCTGAGCGCCGCCGCATGCGGCTGGTCCACAAGGACACCCTCAAGGACCTCCTCACCCGCAGCCCCCGTGAAACCGGTACCGTGTCCCACAGCCCAGGCTTCCAGCCCCAAAATAGCCCCGACACCCACTGGTGACATCCTCCTTCCTCAGCAGGATGCTGGTGGGGAAGAGTGGTGAATGCCATGGAGGTTTGGGAATGCCCTGGCCATGGAGGGGTAGGGATCAGCCCCACCATCCTGGACCCCCAAGCCAGGACGTGTGTGTGGGTTGATGCAGTGGGAGGGTGGCCATGGGGAGAGGAGGCAAGGGCTGGTGGGGTGCCAGGAGTGGGGGTCCCACTGCCTGGCCAGCACAATGAACCCTGTTCTCCCCTCACGGCAGAGCTGGAGACGCGGGACGGCAGCACAGCGGTGCCGGCGGAGAAGACGCGGGTGGAGAGCGTAGAGCTGGTGCTGCCCCCACACGCCAACCATCAGGGCAACACCTTCGGTGGGCAGATCATGGCCTGGATGGAGAATGTGGCCACCATCGCAGCCAGGTGACCTGACAGGGATTTGGAGAGGGGGGATGGTGTGCCTGGAGGTGACACACAGCCAGGACAGCGTCCGGCCAGATTGGGCCACAGCCGGGTTGTAGGAACCCTCCAAAGAGATGGTCCCCAGCACATCACCGTCGGGCGATGCTGTACAGGGAGTCCCGCAGGTGCATGGTGCTGGAGGACCCCAGGGAAGGGTTCACACTCACTACAGTCTGCTTATTGTCCTTCTCATGGCTGGTTTTGGCGGCTGAAATCCAGGGGTCTCCTCGGCTCTGGCTGGGTCAGGGAGGGTGCACAGGGCTGCCAGGGTGCCACGGCCGGGGGGTAACACCTGCCCCCTCCAGCCGGCTGTGCCATGCCCACCCCACACTGCGGACCATCGAGATGTTCCACTTTCGGGGACCATCACAAGTAGGGGACCGCCTGGTGCTCAAAGCCATCGTCAACAATGCCTTCAAAAACAGGTGGGTGCTGGTGGCGGGGGGGGGGGCCC